AAAAAAAAAAAAAAAAAGAACAGTGCATGGGAAGATAGTGATGGGGACAGAGGGAATGGGTGCTGTTTTACGCTAGTGGTCAGAGAGAGCCTCCCTGGGGAGCTGCCTTTACAGCAGAGAGCTGAGGGGGACACAGGAGCAAGCAAAGGAAATGTCAGAAAGAACAGTGTCCAGGGCAGAGGAAACAGCAAAGGCCTTGAGTTTGGCTCAAAAGCGGAGTTTGCTCTGCGTGTTCCAAGAACAGCAAAGAAGTCAGTGTGCCTGGAACAGAGCCGGCGAGGGGAAGGGAAAGTGATAGGAGATGGACCCAAGGGCGGGTGGGGGGAACCACACAAAACACACAGGGGGCAGGTCTCTGCCTGTAGCTCAGGCAACACTCTTAACTGGCCGGCTTGCTCAGTCAGCAACAGGGTGTTGCACACCCCACGCCCCTGGCTAGCCCTCCCAACCCCTGCTGGAGGCTGAAGGGAAGAGTTCAAAACGGCAACGGTTGCAAAAGGGGGTGAGACTTTAATATAATTATCTTTTTTTTCCCCCAGAATAGTTGCACATTTTAGAGAATATGCAAAATGGAAAAAGGGATGACACAGATACAGAAAAGGAAAGAGGACAGGTAGCTGGGGGTATCATTGTTTCCTCACTGTTTTCCAACCTTCATATAATGTGGTTATAAAGTAATATACTGAATATGTTTGTAACATATAATATATGTTTTTAATGTTTTTATTTATTTTTTAAAGATTTTATTTATTTATTTGACAGAGAGATCACAAGTAGGCAGAGAGGCAGGGGGAAGCAGGCTCTCCGCGGAGCAGAGAGCCCGATGTGGGGCTCGATCCCAGGACCCTGAGATCATGACCTGAGCCGAAGGCAGAGGCTTAACCCACTGAGCCACCCAGGCACCCCTTAATGTTTTTAGATATGTAACTCTTTTATGATTCTATGAAGGTAATAAAACATACAGATGAAATTTTCCCTTATTTTAATGTTGCAAACCCATATTGTTGTTTATATGTTACAAACCTATATTATCACAAATGGTACAAACCCATATTATCTCTTATAAAAATACTATACAGCTGATGGTGAATTATGTGTGTAAGTCCACCAAACAAATTTCAAGGTCCTGTGTTGTTTATCCTGAAGGATCACAGCAGGATTTTGTCAGCTGAACTGAAGGACCGGGGGAAGGAGATCATTGCGTGTAAGATGGCATTTCGGACTCAGCTTCCAAAACAATTTTCACCCCTTAGATAACAAATATTCAAAGATGCAACCTTCAGAGAAATCAAGAACAAATCAACTTGAGAGAATTTCAAATATGGAAAAGCGAGCAGCACACAGTAAAAGCCACGAATACAAGCACAGAATATCAGCCATATTGTATATATAATATAACATGTTCATATATATTTATAAAACATGCATTTTTTTAAGGATTTTATTTATTTGAGGAAGAGAGAGAGGCAGGGGAGAGCAGAACAGAGGGAGTGGGAGACACATTGAGTGTGGAGCCTGACTCAGGGCTCGATCTGAAAACCCCGAGATCATGACCTGAGCTGAAATCAAGAGTCAGACACAACCGACGGAGCCAGCCAGGTGCCTCAAAATATGCATCTTTATAAAGAAGCTCAACTGAAATTTTTCTCAAGATAAAACAGGTTTGCACGATATACTCTCTTACCTTCTGTCAAAGGAGAAGCCCAGCCTCCCTAAGGTGAGACGTCACCAGTTCTGAGCCCCTACTCTGTGCCAGGTACTTTTCTTGCTGCTGGTAAACCAGCAGCAAACAGGCCAGAAAGTAACAGTTCTTATCTTTTCTTCCCAAATTCCAATTGTCCAAAAAGACAGCAGATCAGGGCACCTGGCTGGTTCAGTGGGTTAAGCCTCTGCCTTCAGCTCAGGTCATGATCTCAGGGTCCTGGGATCAAGTCCTGCACTGGGCTCTCTGCTCTGCAGGGAGCCTGCTTTCTCCTCTCTCTCTGCCTGCCTCTCTGCCTACTTGTGATCTCTGTCTGTCAAATAAATAAATAAAAGAAACATTTTTTTTTTTTTAAAGACAGCAGATCAATCTAGAAAACACACGCTTAATTGTCCCTCTGCATGAGGATGAGGTCTCAGAGTCTGGGGCACGTGTTGGAAAACTGGGCAGAGGGCAGGTTGCCAGAACACGGGGCTATGGTGGTACAATTCGGCAGCAAACAACTTGACCTGACCCACCCCCTATAGACCTTTGTCTACTGCCTTTCTTGCTGCCTTCGCTACTGGCCAGACAAAGCCAGGAAGCCCCCACCCGTGGCTGACACCCTAGAAAGTGTCACCCACTGCTGTACGCAGTGGCCAGGCTTAGAATGTCCCCCCCACCTTCAAGACTGGGCCTCGCTCTGCCCTCAGATGCCCTGATGTTCTTGGGCTGACCACTAGCCACACTGCTCAGTCCCCCTACTTGGCGGTTGACAGATTCTGCTCCCGACATGCAAGGCTTGGAGGAAGAGTCATGTATAATAAAAGCATGAAAAGACACACTGTTCTTTCTGGGCGCACCACTTCCCAGCAGAAAAGGAATAAACAAAAGGGGAGTCCTATCCCCTCAGGGAGATTAACCATTTCTATAGAAACCAAGGACCGTTCCAGACACCCACATCAGGCAGGACCGGTAGTAAGAACATCATAGCAGCCACCATGTGAGCACGTTTGTGGACAGACAGACAGACACTGGGTCAGGCATATTTATCTTAGTATCCCTCCTAGACAGGTACCACTGACCGCCACTGTTCAGATGGAGAAACCAAGGCCAGATCAGAATAATGACTCGCCCAGCTGGAAAGGGGCCAGGTAGGTGCAGATATTTTGAGGCTGTTTTTAGGTCTTTCTCCTCCTAGTTTTTACTCATTGTTAGAAATAATGGACAAAGCTTCCAGAAACATAACCAGCCACAATGCCCAGCAATGGAGTTCTGTTCAGGAAACTTACCTCTGTCAGGGCCATTTTGTTGGCTGCTTCTGCGTTTCCCTCCACCCCTTCCGTCTCAGACTCAGGAATCGCTGGTGTTCACGGAGCACAATGGCTTCAAACCACAGGAGCGTTCCCTTAGAGGGCATCAGTGATCCCCCGCACCCCCACCCCGAGAGTAAGAGCCTACATTACTAGGAAAGTGTTTTTAAAAATATAAATCTGATCGTGGCTCCTTGTTCTTGACTGATACCCCCAACCTGCTGTCCTAACGGGAATTGTCCCTTGACGTGGATTCTACAGACAAACGCTCCACTGCCTGCCAACCAAGGCTGTGCTCCAGAGAAGCGGTTTCCTGGGAGTGAAACTCCCCATCGGCACCCCTGGAGCCGCACCGCTGCTGGGCTCACACTCCCACCAGCCCATCTGCAGACCAAACTCCGTAGAGTTCTTGGCATTTCCCTCAGGGTGCCGCTTCTGGGTCTATTGTGTCCGAGGCGTATTAAAAAACAAACTCTACAGATTGGAGATTTGAGATTTCTACCGTGGAAAGGTAGAAAGCCTAGTGGCCCGGAGTCCTGGTTCTGGGTTGGAGGGTGGCCTTGGGGTGCCCGCTCTCGGCCTCAGTTTCCCCTTATGTAAAACGAGAGGGGTCGCGGTGGGCACTAAGGCGAGACCTCGCAGGCTCACCCCTCCCGCGCGGCAACGGGATGGTCTCCCGCGCAGGACGCAGTTCTCGTCCGGTGCCGCCTCCCCACCACCCCCTCCCCGGAGTCGGATGCGTGGGCCGGTTCCCCCGGCCGGCCCACCTCCCCCTCCCCCGCTCCCGCCCCGCGGCTCCTGCGACCCACTGCTCCGCCCCCGGCCCGGCCTCCCGCCCGCCGCAGGGTCCCAGCCCGGCTCCCCGCGCGCGTCCCGCCCCGCGGGGCGCGTGGAACCCCGCCCTCCCTCGAGTCTCGCAGCCGGGCTGGCGGAGGGCGGGGCGGGGCGGGGCGGGGCGCGCGGGGGGCGGAGCCGAGTCGGGGAATCCTGCTCCGGGCGAGCGCCGGGCCCTGCAGAGCAGCCCGGCTGTCCGAGGGCCCCCGCGGCGGGGGCGGCGGGGAACCCCAGACGCAGCCGGGCCGGGAGGGATCCCCGAGCCGAGCGAGCCGCCGTCGCCGCCGTCGCCGCCGCTGCCGCCTCCGCGCCGCCCCCGCGGGCTGCCAGGTGCCGGGCGCGCCCCCACTCCGCCCGGCTGCCGGCTCCCGCGGTCCCGTCGTCCGCTCGCCGGCCCGTCGCCCGTGCGCCATGCAGCCGCCGCCCGCCCCGCGCGCGTAGGCGCCCGCCGCAGGCCATGCTGCTCCTGCTCGCCGCGCTGCTGGCCGCCGCCTGCCCGCTGCCGCCCGCCCGCGGCGGGGCCGTGGACGCGCCGGGCCTCGGCGGGGCGCCCCCCAACGCCTCCGTGAACGCGTCGTCCGCGGGCGAACCCGTCGCCCCGCGGCTGCTGGCCTCGGCGGCTCCCGGGCCCCCCGAGCGCCCGGGCCCGGAGGAGGCGGCGGCGGCCGCGCCGTGCAACATCAGCGTGCAGCGGCAGATGCTGAGCTCGCTGCTCGTGCGCTGGGGCCGCCCGCGGGGCTTCCAGTGCGACCTGCTGCTCTTCTCCACCAACGCGCACGGCCGCGCCTTCTTCGCAGCAGCCTTCCACCGCGTCGGGCCGCCGCTGCTCATCGAGCACCTGGGGCTGGCGGCCGGCGGCGCGCAGCAGGACCTGCGCCTCTGCGTGGGCTGCGGCTGGGTGCGCGGCCGCCGCCCGGGCCGCCTGCGGCCCGCCGCCGCCGCCTCCGGGGCGCCCACCGCGCTGCCCGCCTACCCCGCGGCTGAGCCCCCCGGGCCGCTGTGGCTTCAGGGCGAGCCGCTGCACTTCTGCTGCCTGGACTTCAGCCTGGAGGAGCTGCAGGGTGAGCCGGGCTGGCGGCTGAACCGCAAGCCCATCGAGTCCACGCTGGTCGCCTGCTTCATGACCCTGGTCATCGTCGTGTGGAGCGTGGCCGCCCTCATCTGGCCGGTGCCCATCATCGCCGGTTTCCTGCCCAACGGCATGGAGCAGCGTCGGACCACCGCCAGCGCCGCCGCCGCCGCCGCCCCCGCCGCGGTGCCCGCGGGGACCACCGCCGCCGCCGCTGCAGCCGCTGCCGCCGCCGCCGCCGCCGCCGCGGCCGTCACCTCGGGGGCGGCGGCCAAGTGACCCGCCCCGCTCCTCCCCGCGTCAGCCCTGTGGCCGCGCTCTCGGGTGCCTTTCCCGCCGGGAGACTCGGCCCGTGTGCTTCGTGCTGTAGTGACCGTTAGTTCTCCTTCCCGGGAGGGGGCCGCCGGAGGGGCCCCAGCGGCTTGGCCCAGCGACCTGCGTGCCGCGCGTCGTTCCGAAAGGCAGGTGCCAGCCCTTGCGCCGAAGGGTGGGATCCGCAGCTAGGAGAACAGACAGGGGGGAGACGGGGCCCTTTCCCCTCTATTGTATCCCCCTGCCCCCCTCCCTCCCCGCACCCACGTGCCCTATATTCATGGCAGAAAATGACCAAATCCTGTGTATTTGTTTTATATATTTAATACCTGTTTTAAATGAAAGTTTTAGTAAAAAAAAAAAAAATCAAATTGCTATTGCTGTAGGAAGAGAAGCTCTTTGTATCCAAACATAGTATTTGAAGTTTGTTGTTTTTTAATTTATTTAAGGGGGGGGGAGGCATGGGAAGGATTTCACACCCACATATTGTTACCGCTAAAAATGAACTTTATGAACCTTTTCCAAGTCGATCTATCCAGTGACGTGGCCTGGTGGGCGTTTCTTGTACTTCTGTGGTTTTTGGCTTTTAATACAGACATTTTCCTCCAGAGATGCGTATGTAGCTTTTTCTTTATTTGATTTAGGAAAAGGAATCCAAGAATTACAAGTTGTTGCCCTGAAACCTGAAGGAGGGATGCTCCAGAGTGAGAGGGGCTGATGCTATCTGTCTTCCCTCCCCTATGTAGGCGAGGCAGGAGATTGGAAACTCTGTTACTTGCCCTAATGGTAATTGTTTTAGCTCTCACCAGGCTGTCCTCCAGTAACCACCCATCCCCACCCCCAGCCTCACTGACATTTGTCACGGTGGCATACAGGGTTTTATGTCATTTGCCTTTTGGTCCCCTGCCTCACAGTCTGTGAAACACCCAGTAAAATGCAAAAATGGTAAAGTCAGTAATATCCCTTGAGCAAGGTATCTTTCAAGGAAACGACACATTTTAAAAAGCATGTAGATTTCCATTTCATATGTGTCAAGTGTTAGCATAGGAGCACATTTCAAAAGCTAGTTTTAAAACCTGTGATATTATTTTGGCATTAATAAGATTTTTTTTCTTTAAGGTCAATTCTTGATTGACCTTGGTCAATCAACTCTAGTTCCCAATCACAAGACTTTCCTCACTCCCGGCTTCCACAATGTAATATCTGCTGGGTAGTACTTTCAGATTTTTCCTGGTTTTCAGAAGAAGGATAAACGAGTAGTCCTTAAATTGACTCCATATAAAAACAATTTTAAAGACCTCTTTAAAAGATTTTAAAACTACTTTCCCTTGTTCCATTTCCTCCCCATTTTCGAGTGAATACTTGATATTGTCCCAGAGCTGTGGTTCTCAGAGTAGGGTCTCTGGGCCAGCAGCACCAGGGAACTGGCTAGAGATGCAAAACTGAGACCCCATCCAGGACCAACTGAATCAGAAATTCTGGGTGGGGCCCACACATCCGTTTTAGCCAGCACTCTAAGGGACCCTGATGCATGTCAAGTTTGAGAACGGTGGGTTAGCGAAAGGGAACCTCCAAAATACGTAGCCTCCTTTTATCTTGGGTTGTCTCTATGATATCAAAGACATGAGACCCCACTCCACAGGAACTGAAGAAGAGGTTGGGTCATTGCCCTGCAGCTTCAACTACCCATCTGCCTCTTTGGAACCCCGGGCTTTCTCTAGCCAAGGCCAGCCATGAGAGAGGAGGAGGGGAGGGTGATGGCCTCCTCCTCCTCCCAGTCCAGACATTGAAGTTCAATGTGATGCAAACCTACTAGCCTCACAAGTCCCTGTAAATCTTGTGCTCCAAAGCAAAGCGGTCAATGAGCTGCACTCTTTTCCAGCCCTGTGTTATCTAGCGGGGGATACACCAATAACTGCTAACCTTGGTCAATTTTCATATAATCACAGTATTTGTAATTCTGGAAAGCACATTAAGTATTCCTTTTTTTTTAAGATTTTATTTATTTATTTGACATCACAAGTAGGCAGAGAGGCAGGCAGAGAGAGGGGGGGAAGCAGGCTCCCTGCTGAGCAGAGAGCCCAATGCGGGGCTCCATCCTAGGACCCTGAGATCATGACCTGAGCCAAAGGCAGAAGCTTAACCCACTGAGCCATCCAGGAGCCCCCACATTAAGTATTCCTGGTAACACACGCACACACACACTCACTCACTCTCCCTGCTTTTTCCCAAGATAGAAACCGAGGGCCGAAAAGGTTTCTGCCTTTTGTCTATAATCACACAACTACATGATTGTGGAGGCAGAGCTGAGACCAAGTCTTGTTCTTCTTCTGCCTTCCACCTGGTACTTTTTCATCACCAAAAACTTCCTTTCCCAGAATTGGGAGCTAGTCACTCAAGGTCTGCCCCCTCACCCCAGCACTGTCTGATTCTGTGCAGTCATACGCCCAAAGAAGCCAGAGAGCTTTCATTTGAAATGAGACACTCAGACACTTCATAGAAAAGGACATCTATTTGCATGTGTGTTACATATGTACACACTATACATATATACATGCATACATACATAGCATGGGCCCCAATGAATACTTTTTTAGGGTGGGCTTGGAATATCAATTTCTATTGCAGCAACAATAGACCTTCCTAAAGGGACATTTTCCAAACTGCTCATGGAGTCGACCTGTATGTGTATACACACATATATATTCTGCATGTATAAAACCAATGGACTGGTTGATTTTTTTCTATGCTGACTTTGGCAGCTCTCTGAGATCCGGAACTCCAAGCAGGAAGCTACAAAGTCAGGATGGAGCCTGTGTCCTTTTTGTCCCTGTTTAGTTGGAATTGACCACAGGGCAGAGTAAGTCGGGGGCCGGGGGCCTCCAAGTGCAGTGGTGGGGTCTGCGCTCTGTGGCGACTTTGACTTGCATCATCTCAGTGGTAAAACGCATCCAAGCATGCGTTTTACTAAAGGCCAGTCAGTATGTGTGCGTGCGTACCAAATCTCCAGATTCCAGCCCATTCTTCAAGCCTCCTGAGGGCTGCTTTGAGCTGCTAGTGACCTAGCCAAGTCCCCAGGATAAATCATCATTCCCAGTTATTATTTGTTCTCCTGAGCAAGAGTTTACCCCTGAGGATGTGTACCCACCCTCCAGAATCAAGCCACTGCTGTAGCCTGCCCTACCGAGTTCTCTGCATTCATCACGCGAGCCACTCCTGGGCTCTATCGGAACACCCTGATCTCCCCTAGGGCCTGCCGATGCTGAAGAGAGCCACACCCCCTTCCTGGGGCACTGAGTCCCTTAACCAATCAACCAATATAAACACCTGGCCCTCTAGGGAGACCTCCCAACTCCTTGCAGCGTTGGCTCAGGCTTCCACTGAGACCCAAGAGAGGCTTGGCTTCTGGCTCTGCCCTCTCCCGTCTCTTTCCACCCCTTCCCTCCCGCAGGCTTACTCCAAGAGCACTCCCTAACCAACCTCCTGCACACTGATCTCTAGCTCACAGCCAGCATCTTCAGGAACCCAATCCAGTGATGGGCAATTTACCTAACGAGATGCAGAACTGTCCCAGCCACCTGGTCATTGGGAACAAGAAACACCCCAGGAGCAGGTCTCATAAGTGATTTCCATTTGAATTCTTTTTTTTTTTTAAGATTTTATTTATTTATTTGACAGACAGAGATCACAAGCAGGCAGAGAGGCAGACAGAGAGAGAGGGGGAAGCAGGCTCCTCTTGGAACAGAGATCCCGATGTGGGACTCGATCCCAGGACCCTGAGATCATGACCAGAGCCAAAGGCAGAGGCTTAACCCACTGAGCCACCCAGGCGCCCCTCCATTTGAATTCTTTTACCCAGATCTCATGTTTCTACTTTTTCTCTTCCATTTGGGTAGCTCTGTAATTTCCACAATCAGCGGTAATAAGGGCACTATCCCCTAATGCCAATGCTTGTTTAATCATCAGGCCTCAGGGATGCCTGGGTGGCTCAGTCAGTTAAGCATCTGCCTTCGGCTCAGGTCATGATCCTGGGGTCCTGGGATCGAGTCCCGGGTCGGGGGTCCCTGCTCAGTGGGGAGCCTGCTTCTCCTTCTGCCTGCTGCACCCCTGCTTGTGCTCTCTCTCTGTGTCAAATAAAATCTTAAAAAAAAAAAATCATCACGCCTCCTAGATACACATGTCAAAAGAAAGTCTGTTCCTGTTCCTTCTCAAATGATGGTATCAGCCGGCATCCGCTGGGTGGCACTGCTGCACTTTACCATCCTGATAGCTCATCAGCTTAACATGAGAAAAACATATTCCTTCCTATGCCATACGGTCAAAGTCAGCAGCGGTTCTGCTCTTTGGAATCACTCAGGGATCCAGGCTGAGCGTGACTTTGATCTGACAGTATGGCCACATCACCCAGTTAGGAGGAAGGAAACTCAAGGCTATTCAAGGCTCCAGCCAAGAAGTCACATTCTGTCCATTCGTTGATTGGAAGGAGTCATATGGCCCCACCCAACGACAGAGGAGCCGAGGAAGTCGTGCTTCCATTCCCCAGAGGAGAGCAGAACTTGGTAGCAGGAGCAGCATTGACACCCAACACCACTGTGACCAACAGGGCACCCAGAATCCCAGGACTTGCTGAGCAGACAAAGAGTTCACCCCAGGAATGCCATCCTGAGACTCTCCTCCTGTGGTCCCCATATCACCTGCCCACACTGGCAGCTAGACTGCCCCTCAGAATTTCGTAAGTGAAGGAGATTTATCAGCCTGATAGTGGTTCCACTTTGGGCAAAGTGGGTCCCCAAAGAATTCAGTCTGAAAGATTCGGACAAAAATGCACTCTGGATCCTGTGAAGTAGGAGTCATCTAGGGAGCAAGGGCGTGGGGTGGAGTTAGAATGAAAATGGGGAGAAAGGAATGGAGAGGTCAGAGCAGACACCACCTCTCTCCTGACCTAGCCCCTCTCCCACTGCCCAGACATGACTAATTCACTGACATTCAGGGCAAGAAGGAGGCTGGGCTTCACTGTGCCATTTTTCTCCTTTCACTGGGGAAAAATCCTACATTTCCCAAATAGGTAGGAGAAGAGTTTTAAAGTTATAGGGACTGGGAACATTAAGAGCAAATACAGACATTCGGTACGTGGCTGAGTCTTTCCCTGGGAACAGTGGGAGGGAATGTCTCCAAGGAGAGGACAGAAGGGCAGAGACCAGCGCCCCAGACCCATCGGGTTGCTGTGGGGTGGCCACTGTGGCCCACACCTCACACTTCGTTATGGGTGCTCGGAGAGCTGTCCCCTGCCTGGTCTCTTGCTGGTGGCCCTTCTGTTACCCCTACTTCCATCCCAGGGCAATCCTC